TCTCTAGCTACTCATCAGAGAAGGCATATTGTTATAAGTAATAAATGAAGATGCAAATTTCTGATGGCAAAATGATCCCAGAGGTCTGGAAGGATTAAGTTCTCTTTAAAACAGCTTCATAATAAGCTTCAAGTAGGTCTTGTTTGGTCTTCAATCCAGACTGCTGTTTGTATCTGCCTGTCTTCCATGCCAAGACCAAACCAAAATCTCTCCAAGATTTTAGAGTTTTGCTTTAACCACCCTTTCTCAACTTGCTTTTTCAGTAAATAAGCTCAGATGACATAGTCCCCATAATCAAGATTAATTAATAAAGCAGCAAGCATTTAATTTTCTATTTTAATTTTTAATATAAATCAAATTAATATTGATGTTTATCGATACTGTTGTCCACTTGATTAATATTAGTAATATTTGTTATTATTTATCATTATATGCTAGACATTGTGCTAGAGACCAGAGATATGGATACAAAAAATAGGTATTCCCTACCTGCCCTCAAGAAACTTCTAATAAGTGGATACAATACATACAGGGGAACAGTGTCACAAGGATTATAAATGCAGCCATAAGGCAATGGGTGTGACTGCCTAGTCCAAAATTCCCTTCTCTGGATATAACATTCCCCTGTGTATGGCAGGGGTATTCAAGCCAGTTTGAATTGGCGCAGGAGAGCTGGTTATTAAATTTTCATTGTTAAACCTTGGGAATCAGCAAACATTGTAGATCAGAGCTTGATTAAACTTAAAGGTGTGTTTTGCATACATTTGAATAAAAAAAAAAGAATTGGTTTTTAAACATTTACCAGCACACTGCTTTCTATTAGAATGTAAGTTCCTTAAGGGCAGGGTCCCTCAACCACACTTCTAAGGACTTTTTTAGGTGATAGGATAGCTGGGGCTCAGCTGATTCCTCTTAGTTAATTTTACCTTTTACTTTTCCAGGAGCTGGGGTAGTAGAGATTAGTTTATTTTCTCACGTGGGAGAAGTGGAAAGGGTAAGAGATAGGTAGACAGCATGGTCCATGGCGACGTTCTGGACTAGGTAGGCTGTGGGGTCCTGGTGGATGGCAGGATGGGAGTTGAAGCACAGGCTGGGGCTGAAGACATAAAAATATACACATGTATACATACACACAAAAATGAGAAAATAATTATAAGGCACTCAGCATAGTGCCTGGCACATAGTAAGCACTAGACACATATTGGTGGTGGTGGTGGTGGTGGTGGTGATGATGATGATGTCAAGCCCAGTCAAAATCAATTTTCTTCCCAGCCCTCTTTTTCCCCCACTCCCACTCCTCAAAAAAGCATAAAATGCTTGAGCCCTTCTTGCAGAGGTAGGCCACCAGTCAAGTGCCCAAGGCTCAAATGCCACCTGCAGTTGGATTGGCAGGGAAGTGGATCCCTGGTTTCTTGATACTATTAACCTTAACCTCAACTACACAGTATTGTGAACTGTGACAGCTATGTCATATGTAATTGTTTTTTGTCTTCCATTTGCCTTCTGATTAAGAATACTATCATGTGCCTAGTTTCTTCTCCTCGAAAATGGAAACATTACAATGGAAACATGCAGGTGTTTTGTTTTATTTTTATTTTGTTTGGTTTTGGGGCTTCAATCTGGATGGGAAAGGAATATTTTAAAATGAGGGACAATTCCATGCAGAACTTGTATGTACATGTATGTACATTGCTTTAGAATGATTTAAAATATGGAAACAAAGACAGAGTATCTGAAGTGTTCTTTGCTTTAAACAGTTTTGTCATTTCGAAATGACCTTATTTTTAAACTCCATCCTTTTCTTCCTAAGGTTTTTTAAAGCCTGAAAAATAGAATGATGTTTTGCAATCGAAGTTGCAGGGGGCAAGCAGTTGGGGTAAGAAGGGTAGGATTAGTGCATTCTTCTTGCTTCAAGAGGCTATAAAAATAGTGTCTTGTTTATAAATTCTGAGCACCCAGACAGATCCTTCATAAAAGGTCCCTTTTCCCTCTTGTCAAGCTCAGTGCAAATATGACCAGTGTAGAGGGACCTCTCATTTCCTGGCTTCCTAGCCATACAGGGTCATTCAGACATTCAGGTCAGCAGTTCTCAAACTTTTTGGTCTCAGGACCCCTTTATACTTTAAAAATTATGTGGGTTATATCCATTGATCTTTACCATGTTAGCAATTAAAACATCCTGGGAAAATAGTTTTAACCTTGTGGACTCACTGAAAATGTCTGGGGCAGGCCCTTAGGGGTCCCAGGACCACATTTAGAGAACTGCTGCTTTAGGTAATAGGGACAGCTGGGGCTCAGCTGATTCTTCTTAGCTAATTTTACCTCAAAGTTGAGATAAATGGGCAGCTTAGGGTTTGGTAATAGACTCAAGGAGATTTTTCAGATCCAGGTGACCTGTATGAGCTTTCTAATCCATCATCTGTTCAAAAGTTAAGGCTCTTTGCTCGTCCGGCTTCACTGACATGGGTCACTGCATGACCACACTGTCCTATTCTTAGCTGCCTTCTGAAAGGTTCATTTCCCACTGCAGGCTCTGGAGCAACACTTGCTAACTACCACTTTGCTTTTGCATTCTCCTGGGCTTTGACAATCCTAATGTCAATAAGAATGGTTTATTATAAATATATATCTTATAGTGCACAGAGCATTTTTCTTCCAATAACCCTAAGTAGTGCAAATAATAGAATCACACCCAGCTCTAGAGCTGAAAGGGACCTCAGAAACTATGTCCAAACTTCTCATTTTACAAATGGGGAGAGTGAGGCTCTGAGACATTAAGGGACTGACCCATAGTCATACCATTAGGCTGCTTCCCAGATGTCTTCAGTGAACCTTTCTCCACAAAATCCACTAGCAACATTTATGAGAGACATGCTGCCATCTATACTTCTTTTTTTCTCCCTGAACACAAAAATGACATGCCTTCTATCATCCTTGTCCTTTTGCATACACATAACATTTTTGCTAACTTAGATGGTAGTATTCTCTCATAGATAGCATATCACTCATAAATATTGCTAGTAGGTGGGTATATACACACTCACATACATGCACACACATATATACATACCCATTTATATCACATACATATAAACACATATATACACGTACATATATATTTTTGTCTAATTTAGATGTCAGTGTTCATTCAAACACAGTATATCTCATAAATATTGCTAGTGAGTGTATATATATACATACATATCACATACATATAAACACATATATACATGTACATTTACATAAATACATACATATACAGACACGATTGATATCTAGACGGTCAGAAAGATAATGTAACATGACTTTCTTTACTTTCTGGTTTCCTAGCTATTTGAATTTCTTTTTTGGTGATTTCTTCATACACATGACTACTTGAGGCCTTCTCTAATTCCCAGCCCATAAGTCCAAGTTATTAGCAGTCCTGAAATTATTTGGTGTGCTTTGTCCCCCTCATACACCCACCACCAGTAGAATGTAGTTCCTTGAGGGCAAAGATTGTTTCTTTTTTCTTTTCTTTTTTTTGCCTTTATATCCCCAGAGATTAGCACATAATAGGTACTTAATAAATATTACTCGTTAGGTAACTCTTACTAGATGCTGCTGAGCCCCTGCCCCTGTTACAGACTTTTTATAGTAAATTCCCATTGAAGAATCTCTCTCTGTCAAGTGCAGATCTCTTGCCATTCTGCAAATTAGAGCCTTAGAGAGTTTCCTCAAGAACTAAGAAGTTAGGTAACTTGTTCAGGGTTGCCAGCCAGCATGCTTCAGAGAAGGGTCTTCCTGACTTTCTTATTCACTACCCCAAACTGCCTCATTCCATTCTTATTATCTCCAGATAGCAACACTTCCCTGCTCTCAGGATCCTAAGTCACAAATGGTTTTCATGCTTCCAGACCTCTCTTTGAATTTGCTTTACTTTGTTTTTAATCTCTGGCTGTGCATTTTGTCTAAAGAAACTGACAAATTCATTCGTTCTCTGATTATAGGTCACCTGGAAAGACATCTTTGTTTTTCCTTATAGTTCTTAATTCTTGTATAGGTCATCTTGGCTCTTATTTCCTGTATATTGACTGTCACTTAAAATGAATTCTAGGAGGGAAAGGAGCAATGCACTGGAGTGAGGGGCTGGGGAAAAGGATTGGAAAGGGAAATTCTCAAATTGGCCAGATGCCTACTCACTATACCAACATCCTTTCTCTTCTCTCTCTCTCTCTCTGTCTCTCTCTCTCTCTCTCTCTCTCTCTCTCTCTCTCTCTCTCTCTCTCTCTCTCTCTCCTCTGTCTTTCTCCTCTCTCCCCCCCGCCCCATATAACAATACACACATATGTAATAAGACATAAAGATGGCTTCGCTCAATCAGTTCTGGTGTCAGCAGTTAGGAATTTAGCTCATCTATGTCAAATTTAAATGTGGGACCATGAAGATATTCTTAAGATAATAAATGGGTTTCTGAAAGGTGATGACAAAGCTGTCTGGTTCTTTATTTCCTAAAAAATAAAATCTGGCACGTTTCAGTATATATTAAATTCACTTTCAAAAATAGTGAGAAATTAGTAGCTAAAAGTATTAGGCAAGCTAATTTTGTACAATATTTTTCTGCATCAAACTGTATATCATCTCCACTACTAAAAAAAAAGTAAAACAACCAATAACAACAAAAAAAACCAACCAGTTTTAGGCTTAAGCTTAAAATATGTATTTTGTGTACTTATGATTTAAATTGTTTTTTTCCTGTTGGTTATTTATATTTTAACTGTGGTTTGATGTTCTGCACATATTAGAAATAAAGATGGCTCTCTAAAATATTTCCAATTCTTTTTTTCTCTATCAGTAGAGGTTTTTTTGAATTAATGTTTACTCTTTTCACTTCTTCCAGGAGGAAATTTGTTGTTTTTGTTTTGATATGCTTAATGGGTGCTTTTAAGTAACAATTACTAATTTACTTTATATCCCTTTTCTATTTTTCTCTGCTCTTCTCAATTATTTCTCTTGCTCAGTCACACTGGCATTATCATCTACTGAGGTAAGTATGCTAATGGCATTGACATTTAGTTAAATGTGTTTTCATAGATTTTCTTGGCAATATAGTTCATGGGATAGTTTTGTTCATGTTTTAGCCCTACATTTGGTATATCCTAATAATATGCATATATATGATATGGGAAAGCCATGAGGCTCAGTGGATAGGATGTTCAACTTGGAGTTTATCGTGACCTGAGTTCAAATCCTGCCTTGTACTTACTAGCTGTATGACCCTGGGGAAGTCACTTAACCTCTGTTTGCCTCAGTTTCCTCATTTATTATTAGCCCCAATATTCCATAGTATTATTAATCCTATTGTAAAATGGGGCAAATGTAGTGAGGATCTAAAATCTACTACTAAAATGTAGCAAGATCAAATGAGCTTAGGACATTTAGTGCTTCATAAATGCTTTCTAGCACTATTATTAAAAAAGAAAAGATTTGAATTTCAGTGTTTTAGCATAAAACAGACCATGTCTTAATTTAAAGACTGTTAGTGTTGAAAGGAACTTCAGGAATCCTGTAATCCAACCCCCTAATTTTATATAGGGTAAACCGAGTGTTTTGGACTTATCTACAGTCATGTGGCTAGTCACAGAGTTAGATTTGAACTCAGGCCTTTTCATTCTAAGGGTTCTTACCACTTCGTTACTCCATAAGTAACACCTTATAGAATCTCAAATTCTGTTACCTTTTCTAAGTTACACAGTAACACAAAAGGAAACCAAGGAAATAAACCAATGGTAGCTGTAGGAAGAAACAGCCTAAACTTTACCTTATAGCCTTTTAGCTTTAGCTTCACTTTCAAGTGAACAAAGGTAGCTGTTAATGAGGCTAATGACCACCAATAAGTATGCTTGAATTACATTAGCTGGTATGAGTCAAACATCTCTGCAGGTACTCAACTCAGTCTTTTCTCAGAATCAGACATAGATAAGGGATCACATCATAACTGTGAAGACGAGAGAACAATTCATAGGCCTTTAATATCTTGAGATTCTAACATAGATGCAAAAATTTTAAATAAAATATCATCCAATAGATTCCAGCAACTTATCAGAAGAATAATACACTATGACCAGGTAGGATTTATACCAGAAATCCAAGGCTGGTTCAATATTAGGAAAACTATCAGCATAATTGACCATAACAACAAAACTAACAGAAACCACATGATCATCTCAATAGATGCAGAAAAAGCTTTTTTGACAAAATACAATACCCATTCTTATTAAAAACACTTGAGAGCATAGGAATAAATGGAGTCTTCCTCAAAATAGTAAGTAGCATCTACCTAAAACCTTCAGCAAGCATTCTATGTAATGGGGATAAGCTAGAAGCATTTCCAATAAGATCGGGGGTGAAACAAGAATGTCCATTATCACCACTGTTGTTTCATATGGTACTGGAAACGTTGGCTTTAGTAATAAGAGAAGAAAAAGAAATTGAAGGCATTAGAATAGGGAAAAAAGAAACAAAGCTATCACTCTTTGCAGATGATATGATGATATACTTGGAGACTCCTAGAGAATCAAGTAAAAAACTACTTGAAATAATCAACAATTTTAGCAAAGTTGCAGGCTATAAAATAAGCCCACATAAATCGTCAGCATTACTATATATTACCAACAAAGCCCAACAGCAAGAGATAGAAAGAGAAATTCCATTTAAAGTTACTGTAGACATTATAAAATATTTAGGAGTCTACCTACCAAAACAAGCCCAGGAACCATATGAACACAATTACAAAACACTTTTCACACAAATAAAGTCAGATCTAAATAACTGGAAAAACATCAGTTGCTTATGGGTAGGCCAAGCTAATATCATAAAAATGACAATTCTACGTAAGCTAATTTAGTTATTCAGTTCCATACCAAACTACCAAAAATTGTTTTATAGAGCTAGAAAAAATAATACAAGATTCATTTGGAATAACAACAGGTCCAGAATATCAAGGGAACTAATGAAAAGAAATGCAGGGAAAGGTGGCCTTGCCATTCCAGATCTTAAATTGTATTATAAAGCAGCAATCATCAAAACTGCTTGGTACTGGCTAAGAAATAGAGTAGTGGATCAGTGGAATAGGTTCGGTATGTAAGACACAGTAATCAACGACTATACTAATCTACTATTTGATAAACCCAAAGACCCCAACTTCTGGGATAAGAACTCACTCTTTGACAAAAACTGCTGGGAAAACTGGAAAAGAGTATGGCAGAAACTAGGCATAAACCAAAATATCACGCCATATGCCAAAATAAAGTCAAAATGGGTTCATGATTTAGATATAAAGGCTGATACCATAAGCAAACTGGAAGAGCAAATAATAGTTTACCTGTCAGATTTATGGAGAATAGAAGAATTTATCACTAAACAGGAGATAGAGAACATTATGAAATGCAAAATGGATAATTTTGATTACATTAAATTGAAAAGTTTTTGCACAAACAAAGCCAATGCAACCAAGATTAGGAGGGAAGCAGAAAACTGGGAAAGAATTTTTACAATCAGTGTCTCTGATAAGGGCTTTATTTCTAAAATAGATAGAGAACTAAGTCAAATTTATAAGAATACAAGTCATTCCCCAATTGATAAATGGTCAAAGGACATGAACAGGCAGTTTTCAAATGAAGAAACTAAAGTTATCAATAGTTATATGAAAAAATGCTCTAAATCACTATTGATTAGATAAATGCAAATCAAAACAACTCTGAAGTACCACATCACACCTATCAGATAGGCTAACATGACAAAACAGGAAAATGATAAATGTTGGAGAAGATGTGGGAGAACTGGAACACTAACGCGCTGTTGGTGGAGTTGTGAACTGATCCAACATTTTAGAAAGCAATTTGGAACTATGCCCAAAGGGCTATAAAAGTGTGCATACTCTTTGACCCAGTAATAGCACGTCTAGGGCTGTATCCCAAAGAGATCATAAAAATGGGAAAAGGATCCACATGTACAAAAATATTTATAGCAGCTCTTTTTGTGGTGGCAAAGAATTGGAAATTGAGAGGATGCCCATCCATTGGGGAATGGCTGAGCAAGTTGTGGTATATGAATGTAATGGAATACTATTGTGCTATAAGAAATGATGAACAGACAGACTTCAGAAAAACCTGGAAAGACTTGTGAGGACTGATGCTGAGTGAAGTGAGCAGAACCAGGAGAACATTGTACACAGTAACACCACATTGTGTGATGACTAACTTTGATAGAATTAGCCCTTCTCAGCAATGCAAGGATCTAAGATATCTCTAAAAGTCTCATGATGGAAAATGCTATCCACATCCAGAGAAAGAACCATGGAGTTTGAATGCAGATCAAAACATACTATTTGCTATTTTATTTTTACTTCTGTTTTGTTTTGTTTCGTTTCCTCTTTCTTGTGGTTTCTCCTATTGGCTCTAATTCTTCCTTTTACAACATGACTAATGTGAAAATATGAAAAAAAAAGATTTTGAGATCCTAGATTTATTTGGATGTCACCTCATTTTGTCATACAAGGAAACTGAGACCCAGAGAGTTTAAATAGTTTGCCCAAGGTCACAGAGATGCCCAAGGTGACAGAGTAAGGAGTTGAACCCAGATCCATCATTCTTTCTACTGCTCTGTACTGCCTAACATAGAGTGGGGAAATAGTGAGTATAGGCTTTTCCAGTGCTCACAGTATTTATCACTGTACTTAAATACAAAGCTGGACCACCTTGGGATATATCAAGTTAGTTGCGGAGGGCTAGGAGCAGAAACCGGATGACCCCTTTGGCAGGGCTGCTATAGATAGGATTCCTGCTCAGGTATAGGTAAGATTGGATGACCTCTAAGGTCCAGTTTTTCTTTGAGATGCTATGGTTCTCATTGCTCTGCTGGTCCTCTCTGTTATGATAGGATGATGGAGAAGAGCCTTGGTATAGCAAAGCCTGCAAATGTGATTGTCAAGGCAATTCCAATTCATTATGGTCATCTGGAGCAACTAGCTTAGGCTGTATGCCAGGTAAGAGTTTATTTCTGTTATTCATTTGGTGGTGGGATATCCTTTGAGGGTAGCTATTGGAGTATATTTTCACTTGTTCTTTAATCCAATAGAAATGAATTATCCTGAACCACTGCCATGCTGAAATTAAGGCTTTCTTCAAATTACATCTCAATTTAATAGCTCATTTAACGTCCTATAAAATAGGAGAGTGGAGTTTAACTATTCCCCTTCCCTGGAGTACTCTGAGGATTGATTGTAGGATGTCTGAAAATTGAATGTTGTACCAGACATTTTCAAAAGACCCAAGATTTTACCACCAGGAATTAATTAATTCATTTGGTTTACACATTGCCCTTTCCTCTAACATTCTCTTTTAAAACTTCTAGAAAGGGTAACAGAAGTATTACTACTTTCCAATACGTTTACATAAATTCATTTATGAACTCACTTTTCCCTAGGACTAGAGGGCCTAAGTGCAACATGACTGTGTAGCCTTGAGCATATGGATTCAATATGGAGTAGTGGAGGGCTGACCTTAGAGCCAGGAAGACATAGGTTCAAATCTCTGCTCAGATACTTATGAGTGGTATGACCCCGGGTAAGTCACTAAACTTCCCTAGGTCCTAGTTTCCTAATCTGTGAAGTGAGTGGGGAGGGCGGTTGGACTTGATGGTTTCTAAGGCCCTTTCCAGCTCAAATCCTATGAATCAATGTCTCATTCTTTCTCTGGGTCTTGGTTTCCACATCTGTAAGATGAAGACGTTGGATCATGTGATAATGTTTTTGTTCAGTCATTTCAGTCATGTCTGACCTTTTGTGACCGCATTTGAGGTTTTCTTGTCAGAGACACTGGAGTGGTTTGCCATTTCCTTCTGGAGCTCATTTTACAGAGGAAGAAACTGAGGCAAACAGAGTTAAGTGACTTGCCCAGGGTCATACAGCTAGTAAATGTCTAAGGCCAGATTTGAACTTAGGAAGATGAGTCTTCTTGACTCCAGGCTGGATGCTGTATCCATTGCACCACTTCCAACTCTAAAAACCTATGATTTGGTAGAACATGGGGAGGAAGAGGGTGCTGAGAAGGACACACAACAGAGAAAACAAAGGTGAACGTACTTCACCAGCAGCACAGACAGCCTGGATGGGGTTTTCTTAGGGTGAGTGCTAACTGCACAAGTATCTTTCCTGCTGAGAAGCCTGTAGACATCTGCTTGCTAATGCACTGTGTCAAAGCCCACTGGGAGCAGAAGGTGACCTGCTAATTGCATTACGGCCACCTAATCTTCAGCTTAATGTTACTCAGGGTACTCAAATGCAGGCCTTTTCCAAAGCTGAGATAAGCCTGCCCCGAATTACTTCCAAGGTGAAGAGCTGTTTCAATTAAATCTTTTGGCAGAAGGAGTGAGTATGTGTGTGTGTGTGTGTGTGTGTGTGTGTGTGTGTGTGTAATTGCTTCCCAAATGCTTTACTGTTCTTCCTGTTCAATCCTTATTTGAGCCTTGGATTCCTTCTGGGGTGGGTATGTGTTTATGTGACCATCTTTGCACATTATTTTTTTGTTATGGCCTTGGAGATAGATGCTGTATCACAAATGAATGGAACAAAGCAAGAAGGTTAAATAAGGCATTTCTATGCAGAACAAATTAATAGAGAAACATGAAGATATAATTGCACTTATAATAATAAAATCAACTGTTAGTCAACAAGACAACATCCCCTCACCCTCCACCCCAAAAAACTCAACCACCAAATAATCTTGCTTTCACAGAGCTCACAGTCTCATGGGGGAAACAATATGCAAACACCTATGTACCAACAATCTATACATAGGCTAAGTTGAAGATAATTAAAAGAGGGAAGGTACTAGCGTTAAGGGAGATTGGGAAAGGCTTCTTTTAGAAGGTGGCATTTTAGCTGGGACTTAAAGGAAGACAAGGAATCCAGAAGGCAGAGATGAGAAAGGAGAGCATTCCAGCAATGGGGACCACACCAGTGAAAATTCCTGGAGCTGGGAAATGGAGAGTCTTGTTGGAGGAACAGCAAGGAGGCCAATGTCACTGGGTCAGAGTATGTGGGAGTGTAAAATGTTAAGAATGGAAAGGTGAGGCAGGGGCAGGTTATAATGAGCTTTGAATGACAGAGGGTTTATTGATCCTGGAGGTGATAGGGAGCCTCTGAAGTTTATTTAATGAGGAAGAGGATGAGAAAAATCTCTCAAACCACCCTCCTCACAAAAATTTAAGATTTGTTTTGTTTTGTTTTTCAGGAGCAAAAATAATATCAAAATAAGATTGACTTCTTTCCTCCCACATATAAAAAATGTGTATTACGTATATACATACACATACATATACTTGTTTTGTTTTTCAAAAATTTGCTCAGCAGGAAACTTGGAGACCAAAGAGTCTGCATTTTTAATGAGTCTCCTTGATTACTTTATGATCAATATTTAAGCACTTCATTGTTGCTTTTATTTTTCCATCTTTCCCAAATTTTGTTTTCATGCTACATACAGTAGTGGAAAGATGAAACTGGACTAGAATGAGGAGCCCCCTCCCAACAGACACATATATTTACCCTACACCAATTCCAGAAATATCAGTTTATGTTATTTAACTTCATCCAGTTCGTCCTAAGGCCCCCATTTGTCCTTTGCTCTGTACCCAGCTTGTCGCTTCTGCACACCCTAAGAAGGTCCCCTGTGGCTACCCTGTAGGTGATCAGTGTCTGGACAACTGCATCCTTTTTTCCATAAAAAATTTACAAGCGTCTCATATCTTACTGCTTACCAGCACTAGACAAGTCCATTCAAGCCTTCATGGCTGCTGACTGGGGGAGTTATTGCTTCTCTCCTAATCCCTCTGTCTGCAGATGTATTGATTGGAGAGAAAAAATGAGGAGAGTGAGGAGAGGAAACCAAAAATAGGGAGAAAATTGAACATCAGAGATAGGGGAAATATCTTATTTTCCCTAATGTCCCTCACCTGTGTAGCTGCTTGTGACTGGAAAATGTGGTGTGGTTCTAGGGTTGGAAAAATTGTGAAATAGTAAAGTTTGTCTTCGGGGGAGGGGTGGCGAATCACCAGGCATGTTTCATTTTCCTTCCACAGTGAAAGCCTTCTCTCCATTGTCTTTTTTCTCCCTCCTACCTATGTCCCTTCCTTACTCCATGAAAACTTGCTCTTGAGGAATGATCAGATATACTTGTTACTTTTAAGCTGTTAAAAAAAAATAACAACATCACACAGATGTATTAAGATGAATGGAACACTCCCTTACCAATTAACATCCTAGGAGGTCCAACGAAGGTTTAAGCTAAAGAAATGAAGAAATTCTAATAGAATACCTGTTGTTGATATATTTGAGATATGTTTTGGGGGTAGTAGAGCCCTTCCAGTGTTACCTGAAAACATCAACATGGTTGGTTGTCTACCCCAACACCAGCCTTAAGTGATTCCCACTAGGCATGCTCTTCTGTTACGCAAATCAGCTCATGAGCTCATGATGCCTTGACCACAGTCATTGTCTGGAAACACCTTGAAAAGTGATTTCTTCCAAAGGCTTTACTTTCAAAGGTAGTGGGACAATAAATAATTCTGCAGTCAAAATGTGGTTCAATTTTCTGCAGTGCTATGACTGGAATACCAGCTGTACTTGCCTAGCTGCTGAAGATGACACTCCATCTCTAGTCTCCATGCCTGTTCATTGGCTCTCCCCCATGCCTGCCATCTCTGCCTCCCTGGCTTCTTCAAAACTCAGCTCATATCCTACTTTCTGCAGGAGGCATTTTTCTGTTCTGTTACTTTTTCCTTAACCTTAGTGTCTTCCCTCTGACAACTTATCCTTTGTTTATATATAGTTGATGGCATGTTCTCTCCCTCTTTAGACTATGAGTTCCTTGAGAGTAGGGACAATCTTTTTTTTTGAGGGGGGTAGTGCCTGGCACATAGTAGGAACTTAATAAATCCAATTGACTGATTTATTCTCCCTCTCACCCCCACCTCTACCTCTACTGCCTTCCTTTCTGAGATTGTTGTTCAGTCATTTTCAGCCATGTATGACTTTGTGATCCCATTTAGGGTTTTCTTGATGAAGATACTGGAGAGGCTTGCTAATTTCCTTCTCCAGCTCATTTTAGAGATGAGGAAACTGAAGCAAACAGGGTTAAGTGACTTGCCCAAGGTCACACAGCTAGTAAGAGTCTGAGGCTGGATTTCAACTCATGAAAATGAATCTCCCTGATACCAGGCCTGGCACTCTGTCTGCTTTGCCACCCACCTGCCCAACTTTCTGAGATTACTTTATATTTATTCTTTCTGTGTCTTGTATGTACCTAATTATTTATGTGTTATCTCTGTCGTTGGGATGTAAGCTCCTTGCAGGCAGGAACTCTCTATTTTTTCTTCGTATCCTTTGTATTCAGCACAGTGTTAAGTACATAGCAAGCCCTTAATAAAAGATTGTTGACTGGAAGATTAAATTAGAGAGAAATGCACTTATACTTTGTCATTTTCCCCTATATATAACCAAACCACTTTCTTAGTGTCCAAGAAAAGGTATAGCAGCATGTGAATAATAAATGACCTCAGTATCTTTGTCAAGGATCTTGTTTGGCTATCTGAAGCTTGAAAATAACATGTCCCTGTTCCCTTCCTGGATGAGCTGCTCTAAAATGGCTCTCTGCTAGCAGGAATGTGTTCTCAAAAAGACTTGATATATGCCAGCAGGAAATAGATTAGAATATAATACTCTGGACCTTGCTAAATGCACTTTCTAATTGCTATTAAGTATGACCTGAATACTAGTAGGTCTGCCAAGACAGCACTTAGATTGGTTGCTGATTGGAAAAAATGAAAACACCTGATATATGAATGTCTTGTCATTTGTAAAATGGGGATAATAGCAATAGTTAGCATTTTTATAGTGCTTTACAAAGGACTTGACAAATGTTATCTCATTTTATCCTCACAACAACCCTGAGAGGTAAGTGCTATTAATCTTTCCATTTTAAAGATGAGGAATCTGAGGCAGGGTCACATGGTTAGTAAGTGGGTCGCATTTGAACCCAGGTCTTCCTGACTCCAGGTCCAGTGCTCTGTCTCTGAATCAAGTGGCTGCCTCTGGATAATAATACCTCACTGGGTTGGTGTGGAAGAAGTGCTTTACAAATCTTAAAGCACTATGTAGATAGCTTGCTGTGTTGGACTGCTAAATATTTAATCCTTTAAAACTATAGCTTAAGATGGAGAGAACCAATTTCTTAAGTTCCTAATTGTAAAAAACCAAACCAAACCAAAACAAAACAATAACTCCACTCCTACCTTTTTACAGAGGTACTCTCCATGTCAATCCTTTTATCTTTTTAAAATTTTTTTTATTTTATTCTGAACTTAAGAAATAAAATAAGCATTTCCATAACATAGAATAGAAAAAAAGATGATTGTACATGAAACTGCAAATCTGTTATGTACAACTTGCTATTCCTTTTAAATGTATAATAAATTTATCATCTAATTTTCTTTTTTCCCCTTTTTTTCTTCTCTTCCTCCCCCCTAATCTAGAGATGTGTGTGTGTGTGACTGTATATTTGTAAAACCATTCTATATATACTTCCATTTATCTCTCCAAAATGGTTGGATCAGTTCCACCAACCGCAAATTAGTGTCCCAATTTTTCTACATCCCTTCCAATATTTGTTGATTATCCTTTTATCTTTAAGTAATCTCCATTCTATCTCTGAAAAGTTCCTCTTCTATCCATCATCAACCACAAGGACAAATAGAAAATTATCAGAAATGGGATTACGAGTTTGAGATTTCTTACATATTGTGTTTGTTGAATGTTTTCATTTGACTCTTTTTTCCCCACTCCAGAATGCCCATACCATAAACCTTTGGGCTTTGAATCTGGAGTTGTTACTCCAGACCAAATCAGTTGCTCCAATCCAGAACAGTACATAGGATGGTATTCTTCATGGACAGCAAACAAGGCACGTCTCAATAGCCAAGGCTATGGGTAAGCCAAGGAGAGTTTTGTGTGTCAACAAAAGCTATCTTTCATCCATCTGCCAACATCGATGGAACAAAAGAAAAGAGATTAATACATAACTGAATAAATTAATACAATTAGCAAATTAGTAAAAAATTGAGTAAATAATATTTTAAAAGGATATAAAGGGCAAGAGGAGGAATGTATACAATCTAAGAGGGACCTACCTAGAATAAAATGAAACAATCTCACCTGGCAGGCAGCCTGAACTTGGAATCCAAGGACCTGGATTTAAATACTGTCCTGGTCATTCACTAACAGAATGGCTTTGTGGCAATCATTCGCCTCTTGGGGCCTCAATTTACCCAAATGAGGTGGTTGGATTTTATTTATTTTTAAGGTCCCTTCTGAAAGTATGTAGATACAGAGCCAGCCCTGTATATAGCATTTTAAGTTTTGCAAAGTACTTTACAAATTTCCCATTTTATCCTCCCAGTTTTATTATTATCCCCATTTTACAAATGGAGAAACTGAGATACACAGAGATGAAATAACTCCAGAATCGTACAAAGGTTAGTGTCTGAGGTGGGGCTCCAGGTCTATCATTCTATCCAGTGCACCACCTAGATGCCCCACAATGGGTTTAAGGTCTGCCTCTGACATATACTAGCCATGTGTCCATGGGTGAGTCTTTCAGAACCTCACATGGCTCTTTCATACTATAAGTTATAGAAGATCATGCTGATCTGCATGAGTCTCCTCCTGGTAATTCCTTAAGCCAATAAAATCATGTCTAGGCCAAAAAAAAAAAAGCCTTTTCCAGTTCTGTCTATTCAAATTTTCATGCTGCTATAAGCTTTTTGAACAACTGCCAGACAAATTTCATATATCACAATATCTAGCACAGAGTAGAAAATCAATAAATATTCATTGACTTTGATGTCAAATACCTTGGAGAAGGCATAGAGAAATTTCCCAAGAATAAGAAAGACCTAGGGAGAAAAAATTGAAATAGTAAGAGAGGTGAATGAAAGGAGTTGTTCTAATCAACCCACAATGAGATTGCTGTTGCTCCACCTTATCTGACTCTTCATGACCCCATTTGGGGGTTTTCTTGGCAGGGATACTGGAGTGGTTTGCCATTTCCTTCTCCAGCTCATTTTACAGATGAAGAAACTGAAGCAAATAGGATTAAGGGACTTGTCCAGGGACACACATCTGGCAAGTGTCTGAGACCAGATGTAAACTCAGGAAGATTCATCTTCCTGACTCCAGGCCCGGCACTCTATCCACTATACCACCTAGCTGCCCCCACAAAGAGGTAATAGGGCTCAAGAGACAGATCTCTTGGCCTTGGGTTTAAGTCCTGCCTCTAACATTTACTAACTGTGTGACTCTGGATAAGTCCCTTAACTCCTTTATAAATTGAGGATAATAATATGTTACCTACTCATAAAATGAAAGTAATTGTACTCATATAGCCCCTCACAGAATTGTGAGAAAGGTGTTTTGATAATAGGTTTCATGTGACTTGGCATTAAAATGGGGTAAGATATTACAGATATGTAAATATATAGGATGAAAGATATTGTGCAGCATCATCCTGGCTCCTAAAGAATTTTCTTCATTCCACTTATGATGCTTACTACCTGAGTGAGCTTGGGTGAATTACTTACAATCCCTGGGACTCAGTTTCCTCATTTGTAAAAATGAGGCGCTTGGACTTAGATAGACTATCAGTTCCTTTTATTTATTTTAGGTAACTGGGGTTAAGTTACTTGCCCAGGGTCACACAGCTAGTTAAGTGTTAAGTCTGAGGCTGGATTTGAACTCAGGTCCTCCTAACTTCAGGGCCAGCGTTCTATCCACTGTGACACCTAGTATCAGTTCCTTTTAGTTCCAGGTCTATGATCCCATGAGTAAGGTTCACTTCAAAAGAAATTTACATCACAACTCTGAGTGCTTTTCTGATGATATAGTTAATTTAATTCTGAAACTATTTTCTTAGGGAAATGGAGGTACAAGAAGGGATGACATGGGCTTGTTTTCTTGCTAAAATGTCTGGGAATTCTCTGTGGCAATTCTGCATGCCAATTAAAAAGTAGAGTTGAATTCCTTCAAAGCTTCCCAAGTCTCTGACTCAGTCTCTGCTTTCTAGTAAGTTTTTTTCTTTTCTTTTCTTTTTTTTTTTTAATAGAGTGTTTTCATAAGATCATTGGCTTGCTGTGCAACATTCTCATAGACTAGCTTCCAGGAGTAATGCGGTTGCCATATTTTCCATAGGTGTGCGTGGCTCTCCAAATATCAAGACAGCAGTCAGTGGCTACAGATAGACTTGAAAGAGATCAAGGTGATTTCAGGGATCCTCACACAGGGACGCTGTGATGCTGATGAATGGATGACTAAATACAGTGTACAGTACCGGACTGACGAGGGCTCAAACTGGGTTTATTACAAGGACCAGACTGGCAACAATCGAGTGAGTGACAGTCATATATGCTTGGAATTTTTGAAATTCACTTAAGCAACAAAAGAAATATTTATGCATGGTGTCCTATTAATGCATCATCACTTGAATAATCAGAACAGGCAACTTGGACAGTTTCAAATTCATTTGATGTATTCCTAACTCTCAGCTTCAAGCTTGGACAATATAGACATAATCATGAAAATAAAAGGAGTAGATTGGGCATATACCATCTACACTGATGCTGCTTCTGAAGATTATTGTATATTACTGTATGTTATATATTATTAACCCACTAGCATGATTAGGATGCCTTCAACAATTTTTAAAAGGGATCCTCCTATCCTCAGGAGAGACCTAAGTTCAAATCCAGCATCAGACACACGCTAGCAGTGTGACCCTAGGCAAGTCACTTAACCTCTTTTGACTCAATTTCCCCAACTGTAAAATGGGAAGAATAATAGCACCTACCTCCCACTGTTGTTGTGACGCTCAAATGAGCAAATAATTGTAAAGCTTTTAGCACAGTGTCTGGCATGTATTGATGTAAACTCAGGAAGATTCATCTTCCTGACTCCAGGCCCGGCACTCTATCCATTGTACCACCTAGCTGCCCCCACAAAGAGGTAATAGGGCTCAAGAGACTGATCTCTTGGCCTTGGGTTTAAGTTCTGCCTCTTAACATTTACTAACTGTGTGACTCTGGATAAGTCCCTTAACTCCTTTATAAATTGAGGATAATAATATGTTATCTACTCGTAGAATGAAAGTAATTGTACTCATGTAGCCTCTCACAGGATTGTGGGGAAGGTGGTGTTGTTCAGTTGTGTCTGACTCTTAGTGACCCTATTCAGGGTTTTCTTGGCAAAGAGACTGGAGTGGTTTGCCATTTCCTTCTGGAGTTCATTTTACAGATGAGGAAACTGAGGCAAACAGGACTAAGTGACTTGCCCAGGTCACCCAGCTAGTCAATGTCTAAGGCCGCATTTGAACTCAGGAAGATGAGTCTACCTGACTCCAGGCCCAGCACTCTAATCCACTGTGCCACCTGGCTGCTTCAGTCGAATATAGAATATCTTGGTTTAAGTCATTTTAAAAGCCTGTTAAATAAAATTATTTCAGAATGCGTTTGCAATGGGGAGTTATTTCCCCAAATCATAATATACTTTGCTCTAGTAGCCTGAAATATTGTTATTGTTTGACGATTTTAAGCAGACTGTCAACAGAATGATCAGCATGTTATGACATATGTACCCACTATCATTCTGCAATAGTTTCAGAATATTTTGCTGATTTTTGAATCTAGCAGAAATAACTAGAATAAATGTCTATCTAGTTAATTATTTCATATTAGAAGCTAATTTCATAGATTTGGGGGGGCTGGAAAGAATCTTAGAAATCATCTAGTCCTATGCTGCTTCATTTTAAAGGAATCAACAAATTAAGTCAATAGATGCCTACTATATACCAGGCACTCTGTGCTAACCCAAGCCCTATAAAGTTAAGTGGTTTGGCCTGACATCATCACATTGCTAGCTAGCAGAGCTGACCAGTAGCCTCTTAACCAAGCAGTTTGCCTTGTTCAGTCCTCTTGCCAAAGCCCCACCCACACGTTATAACATGGATATCTTGTGATTTCTTATGAAACTGCACTCAACATGATCCATTATTAGGGTGATATGATAAAATGAATTTGAACATCATGTATCCAGCATTCATTTTGGACTAATTTCACTGTTTTGTAGCATACTTAAATTCTCTCAAGGTTCTAAGGACACTAATAGACTATCACATTTCTTTACATAGAGAATTGTCCAGACTTGTGGAGTACAAAGGACCAATCTCATATTAACCTAATCCTGGTAACTAAGTAGGCTGTGGATTAAATAGATATCTAAGTGGTGCCCTGGACCTTGAAGTCAGATAACCTGAGTTTGAATCCTGCCCCAGACACTTACTAGATGTGGCACCCTGGGCAAGTCACTTAACTTCCCTTTGCCTTGGTTTCCTCATCTGTAAATTGGGGATAATAGCAATAATTTAATTAACAAACCCAGAGGTTTGTTGAGGAATCAAATGAGGTAACATATATAAAGCCCTTTGTAAATACTAAATGCTTATTGACACCCTGAAATCAAAGAGCTCTGCAATGTTAGTTATTATTAATTATATATTAGAGACAGAAGGCTTTGATTGTCACATGACACTGTCACCAAGAAGGCTGTAGAAGTCATTAGCTAGCAAAGACTTCTGTATTCATGTGTATGATTCCTGGGTCAGATTCAGAAGTTTTAAAAGGTTGATAGAAACTGGAAAAGGAGCTTCCCTGCAATACTGGACACGTGTTAGAAAATAATCAGGAGGAAAATTGCTCTGAAATACTCTCAAATATCCACTCCAAATTGTTCATTTCTATATATTCTAATGTCAAAATGAAAAACTCACTTCCCGTCCTGTTACCTCCAATCCCTCCATGTATAGCAAGGTCCTATTAGTACAAATAATGGATTCCTTGAAGTGACCTCAAGCAGGGAACATATTTTATACAATTATAGTTATCCCTTCCATTTCGAGGGGCTTAGAGGCATGGTTTCCCTCCAATCTGGAAAATCCATATAAAAGTTTTTGGCCCTCCCTTCCTACTAGAAAAGAAGTCTGAATTTTTTCTTCTTTTATGGGGTGTTTACAGTATTACAAGATAAAATATGTTGATATTATGCAATACTATACATATATTTTATGCATTTCTGAGTTTCTAAACTTTTTCTGCATCATCTGCTGGTCTTCTTGTGTCTGTGGCTTCCGTAAAACTCCCAAAATATTGCTATTTAATTTCTTATGCTGACCTGTGATATATCAAAGCCCCGAAACTGCAGTGGGGAAAGTCACAATGTGGAAGGTATAACCATAGCTTTGAGTAGTGTGAATTTGAATAAATGTAATACTTCAGGTATTTCACTCTATCGTCGTTTTTTCTTCTGCCCCTTTTAAAAGTTTTTCAGAGACTCCAGAAGATGCCAAATTGCCATTTGCATGTAGGCCAGGACAAAGCTTTAATTTTTCTATCCCAAACTATAAAAACAACATTCTTGGGGCTGGGCCTACTTTTGTTACACTGACCGGAAAGTGATAGCTTGTTTACCGTATGAAAAAACAGGGTAAACCCACACACAAAACAGAAAATGAGCCCAGGGAAATACTGTGACTTGTTGTCTCTACACAGTGACTCTCAGAAGCATTCCTGCTATGTCTGTGCTTTCATCAAGAGAAAACTTTGCTAAGTTTCTAGGATGGGGCCTTCGCATTACTGTAAGCCTTCAAACACATTGAAGATCCTCACACCTGATTCTGCAGCAAGCATTCAGAAATTTAGGCCAGGGGCAGCTAGGTAGCATAGGAGACAGAGTCAGGGCTCCGGAGTCAGGAGGACCTGAGTTCAAACTTACTAGCCAATTGTTAGAAATAATTTCTATAGGAAAAACAAAGACTCCCGAGATAGATGAGGCAAGATTATTTATTCTACATTTTTGTAAGAAGCAGGTGTGCTGCGAGAAGCAGACACACACTACAGAAGCAAAGGCAAGCAGTTATATTCCTATCCCAAATCCGCAAAGTCCCTCCCTTGTTTCGCCATTGGCTGAGTACTCCAAGGTGTACAACTTCCTAGACCGCCTACTTCACATTGCCCCTTACTATGTTTTTCCTCCCACTACACACATCACATGTACATTCAAATGAGCTGTTGCTCCTCCTAGAGGAGGAGAAGTTAATATTCATAAAGCTGTTAAGCATGTGTGTTTTCTATCTGCCTGTGGGTTAGCCCAATTTCCTGTTTTTCCTCTAACTCCAGGTGTTATTGTTAAAAACAGTTCCGAGTTTTACCATTGAAACCCACTTCCTCTACATCTGTGGAAACATAATTTCTCATACCTTACACATGTGACCCTGGGCAAGTCACTTAACCCAATTGCCTCACAGAAAGAAAAACAAACAAACTAACTCACTCTGGCTGTAGCCAGGCCTTGCCTTTCCTTTGATGTGGCCATGTGAGCTAATCTCCATTTGGTTTCTCCCCTTTTGTTTTAGGTGTTCTATGGGAACTCAGACAGAACATCCTCTGTCCAGAATCTCTTAAGGCCTCCCATTGTTTCCCGATACATCCGTTTAATTCCCTTGGGCTGGCATGTGCGGATCGCCATCAGGATGGAGCTGTTGGAGTGCATGAGTAAATGTGTTTAGCATTGCTGAAGAGCAATGTAGGACAAGATTAGATAGATCAAAAATGGTCTTTCAGAAGAAAAATGAATAAGTATACTGCTAGGTAGAAGTGTTGAATTTTGCAAAGTCTTAGATATCAGAACCCCTCGCCTAAACTTCTTTTGAACTTTTCACCTTCAAAAAAAAAAGGAATAGCATTTTATAAGTGGTTTAGATTTCACAAGACACCTGTCTCCTGCAACCAGCACCTACTAAAAGATGGAAGAAAGCACTTTTCCCAAAGCCAGTTTCTTGAGGAAAGGATACATTAACAATTTATCTGTTGAAATCTTTCCTTGGGTGTCAGTAATCTGAGGAAAAGTGTAATTTCAGTGGGGTCATAAGTTGCCTGAAGGTGTAGGTTTTCTTTTAACAAACTACCAAATTAAAAACCAGCACAAATCTTGTGAACCTGCAGTTCAGGTTAGGGTGATAGCTTACCAGTCATCTCACAATTATCCACCAAGTGAGGGCAATTACTTTTTCTTCAGTTGTGGTCTAAAACTATTTTAGTGACATTTTAGGTGAGTACTGATTATGATTAGATGGCATAGATATGTGTGTGAGTAAATAATGGCACATTCATACTTGTAGTTCTGTGAAATAAAGGGTTGGGCCCTATTTCTTGGCTCAGAATCATTCTAATGAATCTGATCATTCTTTTGCTTGGCTCTCCTGAGTGGAGATAAATCAAATGAGAGCTCACTGTCATTCTACAATCCAATTTGTACCACAATGCTGGTAGTTCTTTATTCTGTTACACAGGGAATCACTGCAAGATCATGGACCCCTCTTCCCTGCTGCTCTGCTTAGGGGACACTATTTAGTACTGGAGATAAAAGGGACCCACGAAGTGTTAGCAGGGCTGCAGTTCAGAAAATTAGAGGAAGAACTGGGCTCTGAGCACCAGTACACACCTGAAGTGAGAATCTTTTCTCTAGGCTGATAATTCATACTATGATTCACCACCACCAACAAAATGTTGGCTCAAAGTAGACTACCTGCCCTCACGTAAGAAGTGGCTTTTTATATGCTACTTTAACTTTAAATGACCTACTTAATTGGGCAACTAGGTGGCACAATGGATAGACTGCCAAGCCTGGAATCAGGAACACTCTTCCTGAGTTTAAATCTGGCCTCAGGTACTTACAAGCTGCATGGCCTGGGGCAAGTCCCTTTGCCTCAGTTTCCTCACCTGTAAAATGAGCTAGAGGGGCAGCTAGGTGGTGCAGTGGATAGAGCACTGGCCCTGGATTCAGGAGGACCTGAGTTCAAATCTGGCCTCGGACACATTACTAGCTGTGAGACCCTGGGCAAGTCACTTAACCCCAGTGCCTAGCCCCCCCCCAAAAAAAAAAGAGCTGGAAAAGGAAATGGCAAACCTCTCCAGTATCTTTGCCAAGAAAACCCCAAATGAGATCACAAAGAGTTGGACATGACTGAACAATAGCAACAACCTTTAATTGATGACATGCTCTGTGATATTGGCAGGATCTTATCGGCAATTTGAGTAGACAATATCCCCTTGGGGGGAATTCAGAGACCATGATCATTGGATCATAGTTTTAAAGCTAGAAGGTACATCAGAGGCCATCAAGTCTAATCTCCTTATTTTACAGATGAGGAAACTGAGGCACAGAAGTTATGTATGCCCAGGGTGATACAATTAGTAAATGTCTAAGGTAGGATTTGAATGCAGGTCCTCCTAATACCAAATCCAATGTCCTATCCATGTTTCCATAATGCTTCTCAAGGGAGCACTGCCCTTGGAAAGTATTTCCTCTCAAAATTATACAGTTTTGTCTATTTCATTATTTTACCTAGGACTGGCCCTGGACGGAGTTTTGCCCTTTCTTAGTCAAAATTGGCCAGGCCTAGCAGCATGGCACATTAGAAAAAGAAACTAGTTTTGAAGTTCATTAGAAGATCTGGGTTTCAATTCTGGTCTTTTTTGCTCTAGACTTTAGTTTGCTAATCTACAAAATAAGGAGACTAGACTCAGCAATCTCTTGGCCACACTGACTCACACTAATTCATCTCCCTGAAGTGAATTCTTTTTCAGAGGATAAAAAGGAAAAGGACACAAGATCAGAGAATAATCGACAAACCTAGAGGGAACCTCAGAGGTCTAACCCCATGGAATTAGTATGAACAATACCTTGAAATCATAAAATCACAAAACCAGAAAGAACTTTAGAAGCCATTGAGTCTCTAAGCCAGGGGTAGGGAACCTGGGACCTTCAGGCCCATGTGGCCCTCCAGGTCTTCAAGTGCAGCCTTTTGACTGAATCCAAACTTCATAGAACAATTCCCTAAAGAGATCCTTGCTCTAAGCCCTCATTTTACAGATTAGAAGAAATGAGGTCCAGAAAGGTTGAAAGTCATACAAGTAGAAAATAGTAGAGTTGGGATTTGAACCCAAGTCCTCTGACTCCAAATCAAGTGGTTTTGCCACAAGATCATACTCCCTCTTCATTCTCAGGTACTTTCTCCTCCTATCCTACTTCCTAGGAACTTTAAAAATGTTTTTAAGCTTATATATTATTTTTGTTCAGTCATTTTTCGGTCATGTCTGACTCTTCATGATCCCATTTGGGTTTTCTTGGCAAAGATATTACAGTGGCTTGCTAATTTCCTTCTCCAGATAATTTTACAGATGAGGAAACTGAGGAAAATAGGGTGAAGTGACATGCCTAAGGTCATATAACTGGTAAATGTCTGAGGCCAGATTTGAACTCAGGAAGATGAGACAGGTTTCTGACTCCAGGTCTAGTACTCTACCCACTGCACCACCTAGCTTCCCTGTATTTATAATTGCCCTGTAATTACCCTGCTGCTCATTTGAATTGGTTGTTAGGACACCTCCAGTCACAGACTTCAGTCTCCTGTTAATGAGGGTTGCTAAAATCCATTTCTGGCTTTAGTACAACTGGACAAATGTGCACCATCACGGACAATACAACTGACAAAACTTATTAGAAATAGGAAAACTTTTCATCTGCCACAGGAGTATATAGAATCCTAAATATTGTTTTAAGAGCTTAAAGAGGTCTTAGAGATCACTTAAACCATTCCCTCACCTTGTGAAGGAATGCAATCTTTTCATCAGACAGAGAGACAAACAGAGAATTTCACGTAAGGAAAAAGACAAAAACAGGTAAGAGTGCAAGGGCATAGCGTTCACACAAAAACCTGAATGGAGTTTGTTTTCTGCCTTAAGTGGGGGCCTCTAAAGTTACTTTCATTTCTAAGATCCTGATTCGATTATTATTTGTAGTTAAAATTAATTGCACTGAAATTTTAAAAAGCTTTTTTTCTGTAAGTAATTTATGATGGCATGTTAGCTTATCCAAATACAACACGATCATAAGATTAATTTTAAAACACAACCAAAAAACATACTTTTAAGTAATAAAATTTAGACTCTAGTAGAGTACTGAAATATAATCTACACATATGTGCACATGACCATTTAGCTATTACATGAAATATATCTACAATTTTAATTTCTAATTCCATCTTCTTTGTCATAGAAGCTCTTCATTTTAAACAATTACTTTGGAAAAAAAACAGCTCTTTATCTTAAGTTAGTATGTTTCCTTTCATTTTTAAGAACACTAATCGGATCCCAAACCTAAATTTACAAAAAAAGAATTTAGCTATTACATGAAAAATGTCACATTCAGTGTGCTCCCATGACTTCCCGATAAAATCATTCACAAAAGTCTATGCAAACTCTAAAACAAAAAGGCTTCTCCCATTATTTCTAATTTTCCTATGCACGTTTTTACATACGTAATGTAATAGGAATACATTTAATTAGCACAACGTTGTTCACAGTCCTGTACCTGGTGAAACCTGAAGTGAGAATTTAAGTTGATGCAAACCAACCAGAGGCAGTTTTTTAGGGCAATGAAGTTTTAGAGAAATAAATGGGAAGGAAACAAAGGAAGATTATTATTTTAGCTGCGATTCCCAGTTAAGGGTCACCAACTTGTCCATTGTTCATTAATCTTCCCATCCTGTTCTTTCCCAGAGTTTCAAGTTCCACTTTTGTCACCTTTTCAGAATGAGTAGTAGCTTGTTTTTGAACAAAATATTCTCAGGCTGTCATTTCCACTTCTAAAATAGGATGAGAAAACTTGAAATCTTCTAAGCATTTGAGAAGAAAAGGTATTACAGAAATTCGAAGTCACTGCTTAAGTCAACATAATTTCCTTTCTGATGTGTTACTTTCTTCTTCATTCTTTGTTTCTATAATAGAAATCTCATTATGGAAGCCTTTGCACACACCTTTGTGTAGAAGAAAACCTTTGTGTAAAGCAGAGGAAAATCTGTGTTTTTGGTTAATGTGTGCTGTCAGTATAAATTAATATAGATAAAATATTACATAAATGCCTAATTAACTTGTTATATATACCAAATTATACTTCATGGAGAGCTACTGTAATTGCCTATGTCCTACATTAGACTCAGTGAACTATTTTGTATAATTTTGTCTTCAAAACTGAATAGAAGTTATTCTGAATTAACTTCTTCCCTCTCTCAAACCTGTATACCCATAATCTTTAATATTGAGAATTGGGGTTGAGGATATTATGGTGACTCGGGTTTAGACTGAGGTCTGGTATTAGCAATGGCACTGGGCTGGTACCTTTTCTAGTTAACTCAAATCAGTAGCTGCCTCAGGTACTTGAGCGTTTACTAATTTTCAAGTGTATCATACTCATACTTAAGAGCAATTTAAAGTTTGCCAAATGTCCTCAAGCTTCTGGGGTATGGAGGTGTTTTGAAAATGAAAACAATAATATTATCAATATCAGATTTTTTTTGCATTCACTGAGATTAATTTCTGTCCCTTGAATTGATTTCTCCTTCAAGGGCACATTTTCCTTTGTCATAATGGTTGAAATTTAAATGAACTACTTTTCAATGAAGAAATAAAAATAAGCCACATGCTATCATAAACAGGAATTCAATGCTGATGGCTTGCATGGCTTTGGAGTTATAGCAATCTGGACAACATTGTTTTTCTAGTGCAAAATCTGCATTTTATTAAAGACGTATTTTTGGAAGATCCATTCAAAAATACATTGTGCTCAGTAAAAATTAACCATTTTCATGCTGATAATTAAGGTTACCACGGGATAAATATTTTTATAATATTTACAGCAACAATAGAAATTTTACAGTAGTTAGAATGGAATACATGCCAGAAAAAAAACTTGATAAGGTGTACCAACACATGATACAAAGTTTTATAAACACTTTACAAATGGTTTATTAACTTGTGAAGTATTTTAATATTCAACATGTTAAAGTCAGTTTGGACTCAAGGATTAAAAAGATTAATACCCCATCACCTCCTTTCCACAGTAAAAAGTATATGGTTATGATTATAAAGTATGTGCATTTAAGAATTTCTAGTAATTCTTTACCCATAAATGTGGATGTTATATCACATCATTTTGGCTTAGCCTTATCTTCTTGTTTGGTCAAAAACAAATCAAAACAAAAAAACCCCAACAATTAAGTTCTCAAGTTCACCCTGAGCCATATTTTTTTTTCTCACAGATACTATATTACTCCTATTGGGGACTGAAAAAGTTCTGAAATTTCTCCTAAATATAAAAGACCTATTCTGAAATTCCCAATGGCATAAAGTAATTTTTAGAGATACTATTTTTGGATGTCTGTTTCAGTTGGGTTTACTTGTTCTAGTTAATCCAAATTTATAGGTGAAAAATGCCTTCATTCCATCAACCAGCCTGACTCAAATAAGATTAAGAACTGACCCCCAAAAAACCAAAACAACCACCCAATTAAAAAAGGGCCGAGGGAAGGGAAAAATAACAAATCGACCACAAGTGATTTTACATCTTTAATGAAAACTGTCAAAATAAAGACAAAACTTTGCTACCTATTTTTTAAGTATCTTCTAAGTTTACATGGAGAGCTGTATTCTGCAGAAGTGAACATTTTCTCTGTTCTCGTGATTCTGATCGCTTTGACAAGCTGGACCCTCTGGCAAACCGGGCAAAAAAGCATCCTGTATGTTTATATATACCATCTCACCTACCTTTTGTATTCCTAAGGCTCTTTTTATTTGAAATGAAGCAAAGCACCATGACAAGTTGGTCCTTGTGCTGAAATGAAACTAGTCACAACTTCCTGAAGAAGTGTGATTAATTTAAAACCAAAGGAAGTCCTGAGGAAATCTTAATACAACGGTCTATAGATAACAACAAATAGGGTAGATGGAGGAACACATAAGGCCTCTTTCTCCTGGATGTGTTGGAATAGAAGCAAACAAGGCAACTTTAAATCTGAATACTACAAAGAGATTGATTTTAAGGTGCAAGATGATGATCTTACATTGACACAAAGACCAAATGGGGCTAAAAGAGAAAGGACTCCAGACCCTGCAGAAAAGACAAGGAGGGGCTCCTGCTACACAGAAATTAATACAGTATCATATTAATACAGCTCAGTTCTATTAGCCCTGAAAAGCTAAAGTGGTAAATATCTTTTCCAGCACATAAACAAAAATTCCAAACTTAACAAGTAAATACATGGGAAAATAAGCCACATTTTGATGACGCTTTGTATTCTATAGCAAACACACCAGTAAACTGACTGACTCATGGAAACTAAACAAACGTCAGAAATGAGTCTTACAATCAACTTTAACATATCACAGAATGATAAACAGAGCTTTAGAGAAAAGGTATTTGTGTAGTGGCTGGTTGTTGTTCCATGCATGTCCATGAGCCTGGGACCTTTACAGTTATCATCTATAAAAGCATTGAAAAATAAACACAAACTCAATGCATTACCTACCCTTTCTACTACATCATGGTTGGACCTACAAAGGCAAGCGACCCAGTTATAACCTGGTATTTCTTGCATTTGCTCATCATTTCTGAACCAAAACTTTTTGAGAGTCAGCACCAGGATTTCCAGGACTACCACTGGAGAAGTGGATACTCTTAAAATAAACTAACTACTCATCCTCAGAGATACACTTCCAAAGACCCCATTCTTACCTATAGAGTTGTATAAACAGTCCCACTATAGCCCCAACATTCCTTTCTTTTACATCAAAGAGAAGTTCATATCACAGGAGAGCTCCCTTTGTTCATGCATTGATTCATGCAGAAAAAAAAGTGTGAATGCACATGAAAATATTCTAGTATATGTGAGCTCATCTTCATGTATGTAATGTTAATGTATATGTAATGTTCTCATGTCATAAAGGAGTGTGGGTTTTTGTGTAGTTTAGTAATGTTGTTAAACACCCATCCATGTTGAAGATGATGGCCCTCCAGATATAAAATCAGTAGTCTCAGGAGAGTGTATCTGGACCAGGATAATGTATAGATTTTATTGTATTAGAGTTATAGGAACAGAGCTGAGAAAGTTGCCACTATCTCTTCCTTTAAGGATCCTGGTATATTGTTACCAGCAGAATTCTGATGGCTAAAATTAGATCTTTCCAGAAAATAATTCTTACTTTATTTTTTAAAAAAGTTGTATCTGGGACAATCTATATGTAGCTGGAAAAAAATGTTTTTGAAGTTACAGAATGGTAAATACCACGATATTAAAGAAGTAATGTTAGGTAGGAAGAATGAGAAAACTTTTTTTTTTCCTCTAGGAGACACCACTTATTTTCAGGTTATGAAGATACTGAATTGAGTTTGTACTACCATGACATATATTTTTCCATTATATTTGTTACTATAAACTAACCAGCAGAACTCTAAGCTCAGAATATTCTGTTAGACTGTAAGGAGTTACAACCTAGAGCATGTTTTACAAAGATTTCACCATGACAAATAAAGGCACAAATACTTCTAAAATAAACATACTACCAGCACACTTTAGGTTCCAAATCTGCTTGGCATATGACATTTTTCTTTTATAGCTAGCAAGAAGCATGGATAACCAAGACTATTATGCTCTGTAAATTTTTGCTAAAATCTACAGGTCCCCCATGGCAACAGGTGCAAATCACCCCAAACTTCCAAGTTGCTGTTGCTCTCAAATCAGCTGGCTGCCTGAAAATCTTTCTGGAAGAACTAACCTGAAATTTCAAGCTTAAAACATCTCAAGAGGTCACTTAGGTCCATTTCTTCCAAAATACACAACTCCCCTTCCAATGGGCAGAAACAGCACTGAGGAGTAAAAGGAGAGGTTTTATCCAAGGATTCAACTGGAAACAGAGCGTTAGCTCCCTAAATCCATGTCATCAATTCCAAAACTTGGGGAAGAGGGTCAACTTGGCAAATCCAGTTTGTGAGCTGGTCCAAGTGATTTGGGAACTCTGTAAGCACAATACCTCACCATGCTCTTAGGCTCCAAGGACTACCCAACAACAATTGGTACAAGCCTCAAAGATCTGAGAGAGTGAAGTACAATTTGAATGTCTCACAGAGAAAATGGCAATGATGGTTAAAAATAAAGGTGGACAAGAGAAATGATTCCATAAGTGACTAAAAACTTATTTTCCCTAATATAAAGGGTAATTCTGGAAATTGTATCAGTGACTTTAAACTTCAGTGGATCTAGACAGCTTAGGTTATGTAAACATGCCTCAGTATTCCTTTTAAGCCTTAATTTAGTTCATTCTTAGAAGGTCTACAGTATCTAATAAGTGTATGGATGGCACACACTCTCCATCACACATTAAACTTATCAATTTCTGTAGTTTTCTCTCTAGCATTTTTTTTTTTCAGGAACGACAGGTCACTGTTGACTCAGGAAGAAGCCTTTGAGAGAAGGAGCAACAGACCGTACTCTGGGAAAACAATAGCTCTAAGCTAAGACAGGTTTGAAACCAACCAGGTATGTGAGAAAACTTGATTGTTCCTTCTACGAGTAGGAAGAAAACGATAAGCCATCAATTCAATTTAGAGATCACATCTAGGATCAATGAAAAATTTCAAAGAGGAGAAGAGAGGCTAAAGATTTACTTCCAAAATGCTACTGACAGTGTACTTGTTTTCTGGTTCAGATCCAGGAATATATCACAGGTACTTTTAGCCACCTATTACTTGCAGTTGGAAGAAGATTGATTACTTTGACAACTTCCGACCCTGCTTCAGAAAATAAGCAACATAAATATTCCCATATATGAGACACCAGTAGCATAAAGCATGGGTGAACAGGAAATGGCTCCCTCCCCAATCCAAGTGCCAAAGGCACTTCTACAACCCCTTCTATGCTGAAAATGGGTTTACTAACATTTAAGGAAGGTGGTGGGAAGGGTTGTAGCCCTACTGTCAAAGTGTTGAACATGCAGGCTTCCAGTGTCATAGGCACTCAGATAAATGCTGCTAGGTTTTTAACTCTCACATAGGACAGAGTAGTTCTGAAGAACAAATTCTGTTCAAGACAATGCAGGGCCAGCTGAAATGTCCTGAACTGGAGGAAGAGAGAAAATCTAACAATTAAAAAATAAACAATAAAGCACAGCTTGCTAAATCATTAATGGATTTCAGACCAAATAGCTTCAATGACAATATCAAGCCCACCTTAAGTTTTTCTTTAGTGTCCAATATATTTATTGAAAATGAAACAAAAAGCACCAATGAGTTCTACATACAGTCTATACACATGAAATCATAATATAAATAAGAATGCAATATACACACACAATCTAACATTTCAGACACTCTTGGAGAAATGGAGCCTCCTTTTTTGTACTGTGCATAACGATTAGGGTTACTAGTTTTTCAGAATCCTAAAGAAAACTGTAGCCATAGCAGTTCAATTTATTACATGTTTTGTCTGTCATAGCTGATTTGGGATCTGATGCGCTCAGAACTCTGGTAGGAATAAACCCTGACAAAGTCATATGGTTTGGGGGTTAGTGGGGAGACAAGCATACTCTTTAAAAGTGAACCCTGGGGGTGAAAAAATGTGTGTGTATGAGGGGGAAATCTTCAAAAAGGGGTGCCAACTGGGTACTTCCAAAATTGAGGACTGTGCACAGGTGAATGTGTTTAGGTGAAGCAGGACAAAATGCACATAAAGCACAATCACTGGCTACTGTCACACAAGGGTCAAAGGGCTCAATGACATCTGTGAGTGACTTGGGAATGAGGGGAGATGAATGACAAGAAAAAGTGGTATTGTTCTGACACTATATAGATTTGTTATACTTAAATGCCACCATATTGTGGGAAATTTGGAAAAGTCCCTGAAGCCAGTGTCAATGGTAACCTTACTGGAAATGGTATTCTAATGAGACCCTAGAGGAAAATGGGGCATGTGACAATTTTTTCTATAACTAGATTTCACTGCTTCTGAAGCCTTAAAATTTATTCAAAAATAGCAACCAAAAAAGCACAGCAGCATTTTAAATCAGAATACTACATTAATGTACTATCTAGTTACCCAACACAATACAAATGAATACTATACCTAAGCATAAACCTGATACGTCATGATTTGTAGTCTATCTTATATAAATTCACAACTTTGAAATTACGCTTACAAATCATGTTGGATTTCTTTGGTCTATACCCCATAACATTCCAAGGAAGAGCATCTGTTTTTAGTTGTGGTTTTTAAGGGGCACTTTCTCTGTACCAAGAAATGTGATACCAAACACAAAGGGGAGCTAATCATGCATGGACTGGGGAAAAAAAACTGCCTGAGGTCTTCATTACAATGCAGCTAGCTGGGCAGTCCCTCATCCTTTTGTTTTTCTTTTCCTTCTAGCAGGGCTAGAAATAGATGGCACACATTTTGCTGCTACTGATCATGCCTTGAGGGCTGCACTCTTACAGGTGAGCAGGATTCATACTGTTACAGTCATATATGGCCACAATTCAACTCCCTTTTATTAGAAGTATAATACTGCACTTTATATCACAAATGTATAAAAATATGGCAGATAGTGTCATAACAATACTTTCTTTAAATGAAGATATTTATAAAACAGACAGGTATTTACCATATATATTTATATATAGAATACTCCTGATGCAATATATAAATGTTACTGTTTAGTTTTTATAGAAACTACTGTAGCTGTTGCACTGCTTCACAATGTTTCAAACAGCTTAAAATAACTTTATATTGTAACATAAAAGGTATGATTATAACAGTACAATATTAGTTAATCATAAATAAATGTTACAAACCTATCAAATATGGAAGTTAAAAAAAAAAAACAAATTTAAGACATACAATTCGACTTTTGACCCTTGAAAGAAAGGGATAGGCTTGGATTACATAAATCCCACATTTCAACTAGGCAGAAAGTATGTGGTAAGGACGTAGGCTGAGACACTTAATTTTTCCATCCCTTGAAGTGCCAAGGCATGCTTTAGCTTCCCAGCTTCACCAGGGAGCACACTAAAGCTGGAATGTAAGGGAGGGGTGAGAGGCAGGGGGAGACAACCAGGCAACTTCTTCCTGAACTCCATCAAGGGAGACTTCTGGTGACTGGCAATCAGTAATTCAGCTCATTTACTATATGATCCCTGACGACTAATATGGTGCTCAACAATGCAGCTCCACATACACAATATTGCACACCTTTGTGAGGCTGAAAATACTGGCTTACCACCCTTGGCCCTACCTACCCTATCCCTTCCTCCCCACCCCTCTCCCCAGGGAGTTGGCTTTTTCCTCCCTATCCCCTGGAGCATAATTACAAGGCTGTCTCTTTTAAATCATTCAGATTTGGCATCCGTGATCGATTTGTTCTGTTATATGTGTGCCCGTTTGGCCCACTCTTAGAACCCAGCTGTTCAGAGTAGGAAGGCCCCTCGTTAGCACTCCTGCTCACAGGGGATACATGCCAGCCTGGGTCAATCTGCCCCGGCAGCTGAAGTGTGGGCCTGGCCTTTGGAGTGGCCTCAGCTCGGACGTTGCTGCTGCTGCTGCTGCTGGAAGCTTGGCTCATAGGGTGAATCCGTACTTCCGAAAAGGAACTTTTGGCTTGCTGACTTGGTAAGGCCTGAAAGCGGGGATCCGAGGAAGTAGGATGGTTTGAGGTGGAAGAGAGATGTAACAGCTTACGGAGTGATTTTAATGGCTGACTCTGAAAGAAAGAGAACTGGGTACAGGATTGGTGGATATTCTAAAGCTAGGAGGCAACTTGGTGTTGCCAGTGTAAAAATAATCATGAAGGGTATTGCCCTTCGAGATCCATTATAAGGATACACATGTAACAAAAGGCTGAAGGTCCAAGCTCTTATTTTTCTAACAATTTCATAATAGTTCCACTAAAAAAACAAACAAAAAAAAAAACCTAAAAAGAAATCTTTATCCTAGTCTTTAACAATTGGCCTGAACCTTGATTCTACAAAATCTGACAGTGGCCCTTTTGTACAAAGTTTTAAAGAGTGGGCTTTATTAAACCAAAGGAAATCAAATTAGAAAAATCAAAAGACAAAATAAATTAATGTAAGGCCTTCTTCAGCTTCCAGGACGGAGTCTCCAACTACTTTTTGGAGCTTGATTGGTACATATCTGTGTATATTTTGTCACCCCCCCTCCCCCAAGTCCTTGAGAGCAAAGGATGTTTCACTTCTGGATATATCCTCAGTGCCTCTATGAGACTGACTGGGGCAACAGCAGACCCTCTGTTGAACAGAACTAATACCCACTGACCACCTCATGGCGTCTGCCAAAAACTCTGGCATTTATCTATCTATTCATCCTATTTTTTTATTCTGAGTTTAACAAATATCAAATAAAATGGGCATTTTCATATACAAAGAGGAGAGCTGTATATAGAATAGAATTTCTATTAGGTATAACTTTCTTTTCTTTTAAAATATATGATAAATTGAACAAGTAAATATATGATAAATTGAACAAGTAAATTTCAAAGCTGTCCTGCTTCTCTGTGCTGGCCTTCCTACTGATCTTTTCTATTTAAAGAAAATGCTTCAATGATCCTCTTTTCTTTAGGCTTCTCTTCTTTTTTGGGGGGAAGGGGGAGGGTGACTATCCTATCCCCTCCTCTTTCTACTAGCACTTCCTCTCACCACTAGAAAACAAAACAAAATTCTTGAAACAAATACGAACAGTCAAAATTGGCCATGTCCAAAAATGTTTGTCTTATTCTGCTTGATTCTGTCTCCTCTGTGTCAGGAGGTGGGCAGCATGCTTCACCATTTGACCTCTGGAATCATGACTGGTCACTGCATCGCCTTGAGTTCTTAAATCTTTCAAAGGTGTTTGAAAAAAGATATTGTTATCAAATAAATTGTTCTCCTGGTTCTGCTTATTTCACTCTGCATCAGTTCATACAAGTCTTCTCAGGTTTCTCTGAAACAGTCTCTATAATCATTTCTTATAATACAATAATATTCAATTATATTCATTTACCATAATTTGCTCAGTCATTCCCCAATTGATAGGCACCATCTTAGTTTTCAGTTCTTTGCTATATCAAAAAGAGCTGCTATATTTTTGAACATGTGGGTCCTTTTAGTTTTTCTTTTATCTCTTTGGAGGTAAAGATCTAGTGATAGTACAACTAGGTCAAAGAATATGCAGAATTTAGTGACTTTTGGGGCATGAAAACAAACTGCTTTTCAAAATGGCTGGGACTTACAGATCCACTAATAGTGTATTACTTTGTCTGCTCTGCTATAGATCCTCCTACAATTATCATTTTCTTTTTTTTTTCCTTGCCATTCTAATGGGCACGAGATAGTCCTTAGAGTTGCTTTAATTTGTACTGCTCTAGTTATTAATAATTTGGAATGTTTTTTCATATGGTTGCTGATAACTTGTATTTAATTCACTTGAAAACTAGCTATTCATAGCTAGAGATTTTCTGTCAGACTGTAATATTGCTGCTCCTATATTGGTGTATCTCTGCCCGACTCTGGCACCTAAAAACACACAGCCCTTCCCAAAGTAAGACTGCAAAACATTCCCAGATGCAGCACATCAAGATATGTGGGCATCATTCACTTACATGAACTTGAAGATCTGAGATCTTCTCAGGACGCCACTCCTTCGGCCGGCTGCTTTGGTGATTAGTCGAATGAATGGCTTTCTGTAATGCCAGAAGATCCTGACCATCTGTGTTGGGCACCTACAAAGAAATATAGGAGGAAATTTAACTTATTCCAATGTATCCAGTTATGTGACTGATTATTCCTAAGGAGCTCCCTCCCCCTAAAAAACTAAATCCCAACAATTCAAAACTAAAACCCAAAATATTATTGCAATGTGTATGTCTGTCTGTGTATGTATATACATATATATGAACATATATATATATGTGTGCGTGTGTGTTTTTTGAGTGTGCTCACTAGTTAAATGAGACTGCCCTCTTAATGTAGTTAACCCTCCAAAAGGAAAAACCAGCAGATGTCATGCAGCTTTGTTAAAACTTGTACCCTTAAAGCATTCCCATGCTGTTAGTTTAGTCACTGTAAGAGAGAGCAGTTAAATCAATTTACACCAAAAAGTACAACGTATTATCCTCATTCAATAGCATTCCATACTGTAGTTAGGTTATGAACCAGTTCAATAAAACCAAAACATTGGCCTTGTAGGAAATAAAGCAAAACACTGAATTTTAGGAAGGCAGAGGAGTCTAGTGTCAGCTGTTATTGCTGCCAAAATGGGAGAGAACCATACCCCAGTAAGTACTGGTCAAAGTATTCCTCCATGGGGTACCATGAGGACAATGAAGAAACTGGAGATTTGTTTCACTAATTCCAAAAAACTAAGATTTTTTTTTCCTTAACAATTCAGCGAATGGAGAATGACTAATGTCAAATTCAGAATAAATACCCTGGTGCTAAAAGTAGGTCACTAGCAAAAAATGGAGCAAGCCAGAAAAAGAGCACAAAATTACCAGAAGCTTGTTTTTCGTGAAGTCCTCAATTCTTCTCCATTTTATGCATTAAACTTTGTTTTAGAGCAATAAACTGCAAACCAAGTATTAACAAACCATGTCCAGGAGCCCCCAAAATAGTTACTGATTGGGAATACTGATCTGACTTTTAGTAGGTGATAAGTGATCTTATGAATGCTGTCTTCCAGCATTGACTATCAACTTGTTTTCGTATTGCTTTTTGATAATCTTTAGATTTAAGTTTCATCTTCCTTATTATACTTATTCGAACATGCCAGAGTGTTCAAAAATTTGGATCCAGTGAATTTATGGAACTGGCTCAAAATACTTAACTAGCATAAAGAGAATACGACCCCATGAAAATAAAAGACATGCTGTTGTCATCAGTAAAACAAGTTTACTGGAGGAGGTTTCAGTGCTACAGTACTTAAAAATGGATACCATAGGTAGAGTGACTACAGGAAGCTTTTTCAAAGAAGAACTATGCTTTAAAGGATTCTTTGAATTAAAAAGAGGAAAGAGGGATTTCTTGATGCTTGGATTCTCCCCGTTGGTGGAGTCTGTCTGCAACATAAGATACAAATAAACTAATAGCAAAAGTAGTGCTTTATGCAAAATGACCTGTCTTTGAAAGCATTTGTGCAAATATGTATTTTAACATTAACAGTATTGTCATAATTCTCACATTATGCTTTCAAGACAAGATCAATTTTATTTCTGTTGTGAACAAGGATGTCTATAATGGAAGTTTAGGAACCTTTTCTAATTATGTAAAGAATATATGGCAACATAAAATTTTAACAGGAGCATCCAGATTAAATGTCCAATAAGTTTACAAAATTTGTATTCAACAGCAAAAAAATGATTGTTATAAAAGAACTACTTTTATATAGTTATAGACAAGGTTGACCCTTTTCTGGACCTCCTTAGAAGATAGGAATGTAACACTTAGAAATAATCTACCACTGGCAGAGCAGGTTAAAAAAATACAATATAGAAGTTTTACATGAATAGTAGTTCTACCACTTAAGCAGAAAAATATCACCTAGAAAATACATACCATTTAGTAATAATGAGTAAGTGATTTCCCTTTTTATGCCTATAAATATTTACCTAGTGGAAAAATACCTGGCCCAATTCAGAAGATTACATTTCCCCTAGTACTTTATTTTTAAACTATTTAAAGCCAAATATTCTGATTAATCAAGATAACAAATCATTGACATATAATGACAAAGCTAACAAATCAGCATTACGCTAGAAGGGCTTGGTGAATGTCTTCTCTCTATACAACTGAAGCCACATGTCTAAAAGTAGTTTCCAGACTGACTCACTTTGAGAGATGCAGGATTGAACTTTCTTTGAAATATCTCCATCATCACATTTAGAAAGCTGTGTGAAAGGGCAGTGGAGGCATCTTTGAGCTTGCGAATTAACTTAAAACTGTCACAGAGATTTCCACTTTTAAACTATAGATGATATACTGAGTCGTATAGTGTAAAACACATACATGTGCAATCTATGTCCCCTGAATATGCAAAAACAGGATGCTAAAAACACAAGTGGTCTAAAGCATTCTATAACCAATCTATGTTGTGCATCAACATTTTTATTTGCTTGAATTTGGTGTACTGCCCCTAGTGGGGAAAATGTATGTTATTCTGAATTCTAGCGGTTTATGCTTCCAGGTATAAAGCCCAGTAGTCAAATGATGCTCATTTGCTTATTCTTGGTAGAGTCAATACAAATACCTGACTTAAGACCATATTAGCTTGTGGGCTCCCTGGAAGCTGGAACTGTTATTTTACCTTTCATTGTAACCTCAGCACTCATGATGATGCCTCACATGTAGAAGGCACTTAATAAATACTTACTGACTGACAATGACTTGACTGACTATAATTTAACAGGTTAATTCAAGTAGCCTATAGAAATTTTGCTTCAGCATTAATATCCTTTTTAATTTGGCCAGTAAACCAGAATAGCAATATCAAATATTTTTAAAAATAAATTTGGAAAAGAGAGGCAGGCTGACATAGTAGAGTCAGAAAGACCTGGTTTCAAGGCCTGTCTCTGAAACATGTTATCTGTATGACTATGGGCAAAATTGCTTACGCTTTCAGTTCACTCAGAAAATTCAAAAATTATAAGTTGATGGCTATTCTTCATTGGCAGAAAGAGTTTCCAAACAGGTAGTTTCCTAACCAATGAAAACAGATGCAGGCCAAATAAAAATTTAAAACACAAAATCTTGAATAAGGGATTATTATTGGCACTAATACTAACAACCTCATATGTATGTAATATTTATAAGACTTGCCAAGGATCTTCCAACAATCCTACGAGGAAGTTAGTGTATTATTAATCCCCATTTTATATATGAGGAAGTTAAGTGACTTGCCCATCATGAGGCATCAAGGAAGTATTTTATGTGAATCCAGACCAAGGTCTTGTGACTCCAAGTACATTGTTTAGTCTGCTAAGCCTTCTAAGTTGTGCTGTTTCTAAAAGAACTAAGCTTTTTACAGGTATGTTTTACAATTGAATTTTGAAAATTCAAAAGGAATCAACAAAAATAAATGAACTGGTATTACAAAACTTAAAAAAAATGCCAAATTACTCATAGAAAACTTTCTACTGGATCAAGTTTTCCCAGCAAGGAAGGCTGGCCATCTCTTTAATGTAAATGCTAATCAGATATTTGCTATTTGAATCAGATCCTGAATATTAAAATGACCTAATAAAATCAATCATCAATATCGTATACGTTGTCTCTTGAACTAAATGGTAATATCTTTGAGGAAAGGACCATGTATATTACAATGAAAATAGTACTGAATTTGATGTCACAGTACCTGTTCCTTGCTACCTGGACAACCTCGGGCAAGTCACTATAAAATGAGGAGACTGGACTAGATGACATCTAAGTTCCCTTCCGGTTCTAAAGCAATGATCCTATGATCTTCACATTTCATTGTCTGGTAAAATACATTCTACACACCCAAAACTGCTTGTGGAAATGAAACGAAAAATTATAGGCTTCTACTACTCGGCCATCACTGTGCTAGTTGCCTTAAGCTTAAAGTTGGTTAAAAAAAAATACACAGATCAAGTGTCAAAAGCGAAAACATGGCACACTACATATTTCAGTTTCTTGATACTTTCTTTTGATTGCCCTCTGCATACTCCCAACCTCTAACACAAAATTTGAAAAAAGAATTGCAGGGAATAGAAGGAGTTATTAATTCATTCTCCTTCTCTCTTTCTTCCTTCCTTTCTTTCCTTTTACTAGAATTGTTACTTTGTAAGTTAATTTGAATCATGCCTAACTTTGGGTTTCTCTTGTTTAAATGAAATTCTTCTAAGGTCGTATGGCCCAATTCTGTGAAATACTGAATTACTTAACATTCAAACATTTGAGTATGTATGTGTATGTGTCATCAAGCAATTATTTTATAGGTTCCACGAATATATTAAAATTATTTCACTAATTGGTGTACTGTGTACACAGCAGATACAGGAATAAATCAATTCTTTCTGTTGAATCTCTGTGAAGAAAACACACCATTATAATCTAAATTACGGCTCTTTAATAAGAATGCATTAGATATGAAATATTTTAGGGTAACACTTTCAGAAAACAGTTTAACATAGGTAATTATACAAAGCAACTTAGCAGATTTCTGAAAAAGCTACTCTAAAATACTACATATTGAAGCACTCCTATTTTGATACTTTGGTCACTAAGCTATGATTTCATTAGTGGGGATACTCCCTTCACCGATGCAGATAGCAATGTTTTTGTGTGTAGCCACAGATTCCCTCAACACCTCCTCTCAAAAAGCAAACCCCAAACACCCAATAGAGTCATCAGGTAATGAGCTTTTCTGCACTTAGCTGGGCTGGTCTTTGTAAGAGGGAGACATAATCCACTGCTGAGCCTACTCCTCAAGTAGGACTTTCTAGAGCTGGTGCTCCCCTTGGCACAGTCTTCAAAAACCCACAGTTACTTCCACATCATGATGAGAAATTGGAGTAGAACTTCAGGAGAGGACATACTTTAATTCATTAACACTGAGAGCATGTAAGGAAGCACTCTAGTACTCTTTGGAGAGGTAAAGGAAAGAGTTGGCTTACTATATGCTCAAAGGCAACTAGAAAATTGATTTCATGGAAAAGTCATCTCATAAAGCAGTATTCTTGATGAGTATTTGCAAGAAGGCTACCAT